ACCTTGCGTCGTCTAGTGCTTTAACGTCAGATGTACGTGGACTGGTTGTGCAATGGCTATCAACTGTGCTAACAGGGGACTGTCGCAGGCACCGGCTCCCTCGACGGCGAGACCTCCGGCGCGTGCACCGGAAAGACCATCAAAGTCAAGATCGTCGACGCGTACGTGCACACGCCCTCTTCGTCGTGGGCGTAAACCGAGGCGACCCATTTACTCACCGGCGTTGTTCCCACCAGCTGCCCAGCCACACACCCAGCCAACTTCTGCAAGATCCCTCAGTTCGGCGGCGTACGTTGCTTGTTCTCTGTTATTCCAAGGAACTATACGACTTACGTATTGCGGTGACCTTACTACATTGTTGCGATCTGCAGACAATCCGCCCTATTGAGGCCTGCGAGCAGCCCGGCGTCAACGCGCTCGACATTGCCACGACCGCGCGCAGCACTTTGTCCACATTCGTGAGTATCTTCTCGTACATCTGAGAATTTCCCTTTGTCGCTTGTGAACTTACGCAAATCTTCACACTTGTAGCAAGGGAACCTTAACATCGATGTCGAGCCTACTTCGTGTTAACGATGCTGTGCTGAAGACGCGGTTCGCGGGTAGTCAAATAGTTGTGAATCTTACCCGGGCCGCTCAGGTCTTTGCGCACGTTTCACACCGATATGGATGAGGAAGAAATCGTCAAATCCATGAAAAGATCATGAGTACTACACATGTGCGTGATCGTCTAACTACTACCAACAGCCCCGCGGCCGACGCGCTGCCCTGTCGCGCGCGTGCCCCGCCCTTTTATCATAATAAGAGTATTAAGAAATACACGGCACGACGACGCACGCCTACGTCGGAGCAAGGCTCGCTCAAGAGCGCTGCTTGATCAAGCCGAAGAAACGGCCACGGCGCGCCTTCGCCTCCTGCTGCTCGCGCGCCTCATGCTCCATCTCCTCCTCGGAGATGTGCCCGCCGAGCGTGTACCACGTCACGGAGGCCATTCCGATCGTCGCGGTAAGGACACAGCCGAACATCGCGCCGATGCCCTTCGCGTGCCAGCCGTTGTTCTGCGGGAAGGGCCCAGTGGTAAGGCCAGTGAGGTCGGTGGCGGATGCGTGTCCGGCGGCATTGCCGGAGATAGGCTTGCCCAGCGCCTGGCACTGGTCGAACATGAACTGGGGGATCGCATCGCGCTCCTGAGCGATAGTGGGCGCCTCGAGGAACGTGACGGCGAGACCGACTTCCAAATGCCATTCGATGTGGCCTAGAAGTACGAGATACTATCGGTCAGGGGTGATGCGAAACAATGAAGCGTGTGCGACGTACAATGGAAGAACCAGGCTCCGGGGTTGTCAGCGACGACACGGAGGGTGACGGAGGTCCCTGAGGGGACCTGCACGGTGTCGCGACGCATGGGGTTAGCCTGGCTGTTGTTCAGGGGCGGGTTGAGCTCGGGGTCGTCGGAGGTGTAGTCCTGCGCGCGGCCGACGAGCTGCATGTTGTGTCCGTGCAAATGGCTGGAGAAGGGACCAAAATCAGCATGAAGACCATAGTATAAAAATGCGAGATGACGCACAAGGGGTGCTTGCCGGCATCACCGTTCTTGAGGACGATGTCGAACACGCTCAGGTGGTCGAGGACGAATGAGTTGGGGCCGTAGGCAGACACAGCGGTCGCGTTCTCGCCGAGGGTCATCTCGGACATGATAGACGGGACGAGCGGGCTGTTGTAGGTGACCATGTTGAACATGGCGTGGTTCGTGCCATCCGCCATGGTGTCGAAGAACACTTCGAGTTCGATCGTGCGGTCGGCGAGGGGGAGCTCCTTCGCGGCGACGGGAACGAGAGCGAGGTCGTCCACGTCGTGGTACTCAGCGACCGCGCCGAGATCGGTGAGAGGCTGAGACGCATCGTAGGTGACGGAGGAGGTGATGTCTGTGGGAAAGCATGGTCAGTACGTGGATACGAACGACGATGAGGGAAATGTACTAGGGTTGAGCGCGTCGGGGATGGTGTCGAACATGTCGGTGTCCATGTTGGCGTGGATAGCCCAGTTGGAGGCCGTCGTGTCGTTACGTGCGGTGACGAGAACGGAGTAGCGCTGTGCAACGGTGATGGAGATGAGGTCGATGGGCGACTCCTCAGTGTCGACCTGGCGCAACGTCATTAGCTCCTGTTCGTAAACCCGACGGGGGAGAGTACATACACCATCCGCCTCGATGATGCGCATGTCGTGGCCGTCGATCCAGAAGAAGAACGCCGCGAACGCGCTAGTGTTCGCGATGCGCAGACGGTAAGTCTTTCCGGGCTGTATTTGGATACGTCAGCGTGGTAACCCAGGTTTGCGTAGAAATGAGACGAACCTGGAAAGGCAGCGTCGCGTTCTCGTTGAAGCCCACGGCACCGGTGACCGGGTCGGGCGACGTCCCGGAGATAGGGCCAAGGTAAGTCCCGTTTTGCGCAAAGTAAACGAGCGCCGAGTCTGGATAAAGAGAGGGTTAACATTGGATCGCTCACGGATACACGACGAGATTAGCTCCATATCCTCTCTCTAAGCACAGAAAATGCAGTATTGGACTACTCTCAAACCGCCGACACAGGACCAGAAGCCCTCCGATAGCCAGGCTTTGGAGAAACACACGTTTTCCAAAGTCTAACCCGGAGAGGGATACAAGACAAATGCCCGCTGCGAAAAGGGAGAACGTACCAGGTACTGGCTCAGCACCACCGGGGTTAGCAATGTTGACGAACTGGTCAAGAAGAGTCGAATGCTGATCGTGGTACCAGTCGCCGAGAACGACGGTGAACTCCTCGTCGTAGGTGTGCACCTCCTTCGGCGGGTGAATGACGACGGGCGCGCGAAGACCGTCGACGTATTGACCCTAAACAGAATGAGACCAACGTTATACCACGGAAGTGATAGGAACTGACCGAAGCATGTGCATGCACCCAGTAGGTGCCCCATTGACCCGAAGAGTTAATGGGAACGACGTAGTCAAAGGTGGACCCAGTCGGGATACCACTGTGAACGTAAACGCGTCAATACAATGATGCTGCGGTGGATCGTCAAGAACTGACCACTGCGAGACGCCGACCGCGCCATCCATCCATGAGGTAGAGTTGAAGAACATGCCGTGGTGGTGGAGGGAAGAAGGCTCCTCAATGGAGTTGGTGGCATGGACGAGCAGAACATCGTCGGTTGTGACATCAATGGGCGGGGGACTGTGAGCGGCGTAAGTAGCATGGTCAAGGTAGATGTAGAAGATGGCTTACGGTTATGTACCGCTGACGCAGTAGTGCGACGGAGCTAGAGGTCGTCGGGGTTGGTGCTCTCGACGTAGGTGATGTTCCACCAGATCTCGTGGACCGCGGCGAGGGTGGGTGCCGCGGCGAAGAGGGGGGCGAGGGCAGACCACTTCATGTCGTGAGCGGGGAGGTGGAGGTGGACTACAGCACTCTTGGTGAAGAGAGATGCTGGTCTTGGGGGAGGGCTGGGACGCGATAAAATACGGAGGACGCGTGCGGGCGGAGAGACCGGGCAGGTGAGGGCATTCTAATACGACGCGGCTGCATTTGTGCGAGGGTCAGCGACGAAATGCGCGAATGCGAGGGACCGGCAGGAGTTGGAGGCATTCTGGAGTGCATGTCCTGCAATGGCCAGAAATGGTGTCGGATAGCCGACTCGATGTGAGTGCGCGCGAGATCCCACACCGATCGGACGGCGCTTGTCTTATCAGATTACCATTTCGGCCGTCGACCATCTGCTCCTGGAACTGCGACCGCGCGCACCTCCTCCCCTCAAGGTACTGCCGACGTCATCCACAGACAGCGCTCGACTCGCTGTCTGCGCCCGCTCTTGCTTGCTCTCCGGCGCCTGTTCTCCGGCGCCTGTCCAGGCTGCTTCGCCCTCACTCGACACGTCCTCTCGTCTCGTTTGGCGGTGTGTCCGCGTCCCGTTCGCCTCGTCTGGGAGCCAGCCTGTGCGCTTGCCTGCTGCCCGTGTCCGCTGCCCCTCCGCGTATCTCGACGCCCGCCACACCCAGCTCTTTCGACACCCCTGCATCACGAAGATATCGCTTGTGCAGACTCGCACGCACGCTCTTGGCCCGAAACGCCCGCTGTGTCGTCCCCGCCGGCGATCTTTTCTTCCTCGCTCCGCCCCACGACAGCCGGCGTACGCCCAACCTGTACTATACGGTCGGAGCAGTCGCCGCCTTGCGTAAGCCAAATTTATAGCCTCGCCCGACGCGATCCCCACTCACGACGTCGCTTTCTTAGGCATCTCGCACCTTAATTCTCGAATGGCCGCACCAATACTCGTCGGTACGGCCGGCGCTGCCTGAGTAAATAGTGCATATATGCCGTGCGAATGCGCCTCAACCGTCGCTTTCGGCATAGAGCCCGCCCTCACTTCGGATGTCTCCTCGCACGCGATGTGTAAACCACAACATCTGCCGTCCTCTCGCATCATAGGCGTCTTTCGTGCGCAGAGGTCGGCCCCGTCGATTGCGCAGAATAGCCCTTGACGCCCTCACTTTGCCGACCGCCCACTCGAAAATAGCCTCGGGGGCGTTCCGCCCGATATACCGCCGTCTCGCGTTTGTTGCCCCTCTGCTACTCTATGCTACGCGACGTGTACCGTATAACTCTCTCAGCAGGTGAAATTTCAGCTCGTTCGGTGGAGAATTGCGCTGACAATGTCGATTTTATAGGCCGGCTGACGACATAACGCCGTATATTCGACGCCAAAATCGTAACAGCGACGCAAGATCACGATACATCGCCCCTACGGACCTCACTTCATCGTCCGGGATGTGTAGGGACGTCGGGAAAGACGTCAGACGAGTGCATCCGACCTCGGAACAAGGCCCACTCGCGCGGACGCTCGACGTAGGTGTATGCTCCGGAGAGCTTCGCGACGCGTTTCCTGCGTTCATACGACCCCAAGGAACGACGTCATCGCGCCCGCCAAGACGCCGCAAACGTCCTCTGCCCGCCACGCCGCCAGACTTCCAGGCGCCCACCGGCGGTCTTCCGAGTGTACTGTCCGCTCCTCTTGTTCGTTTCCCCTCGTTCTTTCTGCGCGACGCGATTGGGACTGCACTGATCTTCAATCAGGTGCATTGCTAGCTCGACTGGACCGGAATTGCGCCGACAGTATCGAGTTTATAGGTGGGCAGACCCGAAAAAATGATATTATCGACGCTAAAACATACATGACGTACTCATAGCCCGATATACGAGTATATGCGAACCAAACTCATACTCTGAGACATCCCGCGCCGCCCCAGCACGCGTCAATCATCAGCGACGCTGGCGGCCAAACCTCCGACAAGACGACCGTCTCGCGCTTCAAAAACAGCACCTACGGACTCAAACTCACGACGCACGGCTCCGATGCACCAGAATGTACAGGCCCTGTGAATATCAGCGCAAACGGAGGAGAAAAAATCTGCGACATTTCGCGTCATTTCATTGCACACGGACATAAAAACACGCACCGCGGCCCGACTTCGCCTCCGCCGGCGGCGAAATATCGCAGGCACGCTGTGCACTCGCGCCGTCGTCTCCAGTCGAGTATGAGAGATTCGGCGCGGTACGACCGAGCCTCAACGACCCGGCGTCGTCGGTTTCTACACAGCCAGGTGAGCAAACGTCTCTGTACGACGTCACGAACAACGTACTGACATCCTCAGGCTTGCACCGCAGACTCAGCACCGACAGCACCAGCAGCAGCACGCCCGCACCGCGCAGCACGACGCTCGAAACGCGCACTCAGCGCTGGGGACGACAGAGCGAACGCGCGGAGAGGACAAGACGAAGAGGGGGGAGGGCACGACTTTGCCAGACTCCCCCCGGGCGGCGCACGCTTTATGTGCGGACGCGGGCGCACGGACCACCGCTGCACCGCGCTCGCCTGCCGCTGTGCAGGCGCTTTCTCGCGGCGCACCCGCATCTCCGCCCCCGTCTCCGTTCTGGGCGTCCGCCGCGTCGACGCTGCACTCGGCTCGTGCGGCGCCCGTGCGTCCCGCAGATGATGGCGCCCGCCGCCGACGGGCCGCGCTCTTCGTTCTGCAGGCCCGAGTCCTCGGGATGCAGAGTGTCGGCGTGCACCGACCGCTTCGTCTCGCCCTCTGGGCGCTCCCCAGCTGTCGTGAATCGAGTGTCCGGAGCTCGCCCGTGCTGGGTGCATATCCAGGATGTCCCTGCTCGCCGTCCGTGGGGTGCGGGCGAGGTCAGCACCAGATGGACGGATCCCCGCGCTCTGTCGTCGAGCCGCTGTCGGATAGCCGCACCCCTCTCTCCTCTCTTCCTCAGCCGCGCAGGCACCTCTACGGGGCTGTGCGGACGCCCCAGCTCTCAGTCGCTGTCTCGGTCACGATGGAGGCCGAGGAGCCCGCGTTGTGTACAGTTCCACGCCGCCTCGACCCTCGAATACAATCTGTTTCACCCCCGGATGTCGCGCCTGTTCGACTCGCGTGGATCGGCGTGCGTTGCGCCCTCGTACTCGCGAAGGCTGTGGGCGGCGACGCGAAGCCCGCGACGTCGGCGTCCCACTCCGATTCGGGAAGAATCCCCGCTCGAACACATCCTGGCGCCCGTTTTGCGCCGCGTCGAAGGCTTAGGACGACGCCCTGGGCTCGCTCGACGCTGTATTCGTGCCCGGAACGGGATCGTTTGCGTTTCTTGCCGCTCACGCAGCCGTGATGTTGGCCGGCGGCCCCGTCCATGCACCGAATCGACTCTCTCGCGTGGACACTGCGCTCGCTGTCTTTCGGAGCGCGACGTTGCGCATCTGTGCACCGTTTTGTGTGCTCTTAGCATCGCTAGAACGACGTGGGGAAAGATGTACCCGGGTCGTCCACAGGCATTTCGGGCGGTCGGATGACAAAACCACGCGCCCGGCCCGATTCTTTTGGCGTTAGCTCGGATGCACACCTGTGGGAACCTCGCGAACTCCCTGCGGTCGCGTTTCAAAGCGTCCGAACGGTCAGTAGTCAGAGTTTCTTCGCAATCCGCGTGTCTTTATTGGCAATAAGGCTCACACAGACAGTATCGACCCGCTGGACTCGCCCACGCCTCAGCAACCTCTGCCAACGCGACCGAGCACACTCACGAACGACGGTACACGCATCTAGCATACTCTCCGCGCTCTACGCGTGAAAAAATCTGCAACATCGTGCGACCCGGACCTTGGATGTACGGAACTGCAGATACGCCGAATCCACTGTCCTACCCCGCCGCCGCCTCGTATCGCGGCGCCCTCTCGCGTACGCCTTTTTGCAATATCCCTGAAGCCTCTCGCGTCGTTCAGGCGCGTACGGATGCTTTGCACGTCGCCAATCTTGGTGGCGCGGGAGTTCGGCCGTCCGCGTCCGCGCACGACATCGATCCTTTCGCCTCGGCATCGCGTCGAATCCCTTCGTAAGTTCAACGATGTGCACTCCTACGCCGCGGGGCTCGCGTTCGGTACGTTTTCCACGCTCTGCGCGGAAACAGGCCCGTGCCATTGGGCGGAATATCTCGAGTGCGAACATGCAAACCGTACATAGCACCTCGCCGCCGCCTGGTACCGCTGGAGCCCTCCCCGCACATCCAATCATGACCCCTCTCTACTCTCTCGTAATCATATCAACCGCATGCGGTGTACGGCTCGGATTTACTCCGTTTCACCTGAGGTATTCCGCGCTCCACGGCGCGCCCGGCATGCCGCACATCGCGATGAGTTTCTCAGGCCGGTGTGCACGACGTCGCGGAGCGTCGCCATAGCAGAGCCGACGCCCGCCCCGGGCATTCATGTCCACAGCGCGCCCAACGATCGGTTTGCAAGCGTACGAGGTACGCGAATCATCTCTCTACGCATCCGGGTGCTGTGGTACTCACGTTGTTCCGGTCTCACAGCAGCGGAAATCGCACTGCTCGGGGCGCGCCCTTTCGTATCCTACGCGGCCAACATCATGGGCTTCGTACAAACGCGCACAAACCGAGCCTCTGGCGGCTCGTGAGCTAGAGGCACTACAAATCGGGATGTCGCCACCGCCGTGCGGGGCCCGCGAGCCGGAAGACAGTACGTACTGACGCATACGCGTGCGCGTGCGCGTTTTGCGTGGTTAGTAGGCGGCGGCACTGTGGCCGCAAACTCGTATCGGATAACGAGTGCATGTCCTACGAGATGGGAAGCATGGCGAGCTGGGTGTACGCCCCAGAGGAGGGTTGTATCGGGTGTTTGTAGGTAGATTTACGACGGGAGACATTGTTACAACCTGCCCCGGCCCACGAGAACTTGCTAGAACGAAGTGAAGAATGCTATGCATAGCGGCGATATGGTATCTTTCTCGCTATCGACGCGAATAACAAATGTTGACGGCTCGCCAGCCTGCCCGCTGCCTGCCGCATAAATCTGAGTCCCCACCGATTACCCGTGGCCGTCGGCGGGCTGGGATATTTGTGGCTGGCACACAATGCCGAACCTGCGGAACGACGACTCACAGGCCGTGCGGCGCGAGCCATGTATAGGTACGAAAGCTGTGAGATTTCTTTCGGCAATCGGATGATTTAGACTCGTACAAACACAGGTCGAAGCGCGGGTGAAGCGAGTGTTCTCGATCCATGCTAGCCTGTACTCGATGTGGTAGATTGTGTATGTACAGCACAATATCTCCACAAATACTCAATGCAATCGCGTTAAAACGGCATTCTACTGGAATCGTACTATGGAGGGCGGCGCCATAGAGTATCCGCTCGATGCTTGGGACACGGATGCCCTATTCACGCGCCCGCAGAGGTAGATACAAGAATATCTGCTATTTCGGGAAACAGAGTAAGTACACGCCGGCGGCGGCGAGTCAGTGAAGTAGCCAACAGGGCGTTATATTTTTGTCCGCAAACACTGAAGTACGCCGGACTGAGGGCACGAGCGAGTATGCGGTGCACGGGCGGCGTCACAAAGCGAAGGCTTTGTTGTAACCCGATTGTCCACCGCCATGCCATTACGAGGCGAGCACCTCTACCTCCTACCGCCTATGCATCGACATTTAGCACGCGAGCACGTATCGACTCTCCTATGAATGAAATGGCGGCAACAGTGTGCTGCATGCGACAGCGCCAGGAGTCTAGAACAATATGGAGGTGAAGTCAGTCATCAAATTTAAGGGCGGTCGTGTCGTCTTGCACTCACAAATCGAAGTCGACTCAATAGCTGATAGACTCAGCCTTATGTCTGGAAGCAGAGCATCAAGCCCGCGCAGCCGTCCTGTTGCGTGCCGTGGGTGGGCGTGCCGAGGAGGCCATGAGCGGCGCGAGGGTACGATCGGCCGTGGCGCACGCACACGGGATGCCTTCGGCTCGCCTGCTCCAAGCTGGTTCGGGAGTATGGACCCAAGAGATCAGCTCAGCCTCACCACGCGACGCCGTGTCGTCTGCGTAACTCTAGCGTGCCGCGTAATTAGACGTCCGAGTCTGTCGCGAGCGCTGCCCGCTTGGATGTGAGCATCATTCCCGAATCGACATCAATAGACGACGTACCAACCGGCCCTCATGCCGTTTATACGATGGAACCGCTTGTGCAATGCCATTCCGGGCCCTGGGTACCGTCCCGAACGTGTCTGCCACCATTGTGAAGCCCCGTATATACGGCCCGCGCACACACAGTTCGAAGCTCTTCCCCGCCCTCCGCCCCACATCCTGCGCATTGTTTGTCTGCACGTCCGTGTCTCCGACCCTTGCTAGCTCACGTCCATGCCCAAAGCTGCCAAGGTCTCGCGCGCACAACCCAATGCGGCACCGGACAACGCACCTACCACGAGCGGGAGGCTCGAGAAGCTTCGCAACAGGCGGACGGAGCTGCGTACGGAGCTGCGATACTTCATTGACTCGAAATACGGTGAGTATAAGCTATTCAGCAAAGGCAGCGTGGACTCACAGCACATACCACAGCCCTCATTGTCGGAGACGACTTCGCCGGCCTCTGGTATACAATTGAGGACTACGCCGAGACGAACGTGATCTTCTACGGGTGGAAGGTGATCGGCTGGCCGAGCTGGATTCCCTTCCGGAACCTCAGCGACGTCGGAGGCTGCAAGATCTTGAGCGAGCTGCTTGATCTCTGGAAGAAGGAGTCCATCACCTTCGCTCCTGCCACGGACCTCGACAAGCACCAGGCCGCCCTCGACCCGACTCTTGTCGCCCCGGGCAAGGGCTTCGTCCACCGCAAGACCTCGGGTGGACGGAATGACATTGGCCGGTCGCGCTACCGTTGGAAGACGATGCCGGAGGGCGGGGCGTTGCGTCGGCCGAAGGACGGCCCGAAGAGCTCGAAGGTCGTCGAGTCAGACGACGAGGATGATGCGCAGGTGAACACTCGGCCGCTTCGACTGCAGCCGCTGCCGCTCTTGCCTCCCTTCGCGCCTGGTTCGTTTTCTGTAACCAGCTCATCTGCAGCAACTCGCGAGGAGCCGGAGTCGGAGATCGAGGACTTTTCGGACGACGAGTAGCTGGCGGACGGTGATGACTGATTTGTATGCGTACTTTACATTCTCATTAATCGTAATCTTGCGTCTTGGAAGTCGAAGACTGTACGAGCGTGGTGGAGGTCGGTGCACGTTCAAATGAGCAGAGAGCACTCTGGCGCGATTCGCCTGAGTTGGCGCTCCGAGAGCGCTCTGAGTCTGCAGCAAAGCGCTCACCGCACTGCATTCCTAATTTGGCAGGTGAAGATATTGATACCGGGGCGGGAGACCGTTCCGCCCCGCTCAGGCTCGCTCTTCTCACCGCCGTGCAAGGCAACCGCAACGGAGACCGAACCGAACCAGTGGCTGATGTTTTCGGGGCACAACCATTCCGGTCAAGAAATTGGCGAGGGCTGAGCGCATCACGGCGCTGCGGGTGTCCGAGTCGGGCGAGCAGCTCGAGGCAAGCGATGCCAGTGCAAAGGGCCGAGTGGCCGCTTTGACAAAACCGGTTACGGCGGAGAGATCTTTATTACAACTGATCACTGTGCTGCTGCTTTGGGGTGCCACTGTCCATGCTACACATAATTCACTCTGCAAGTCTTGTGGATAATCAGACATGCAGGGAAAGGTTGGATGGGGCATGCAGGTGTCCTGCTTATCCCAAGCAACCTTGCCCTGCATGTCTGGCGCCATTTTGGGTGTTCAATGTAAATTTGTGAGATCAGCCAGGTGATCCGTGGCCGGGCAGCGAGTCGCCGCGCTCAGGGCATCAGGGCAGAGAAAACAGAATCATCAAAATGCATGGCATTCCTGAACAAGCGAACTGGATGAGGAAATAATGAGCACTTCTATTGCAAGACAGACTCGGGAAATCACACCGCCGGGGAGAGCTGTACAGGCTCTTCCCGGAACAAAGAGATATATTCATTTCCGGAGGAAGCTGTCAAATCTGTGACAGTCCCGCATAGACGACCCTTGCCTCCCATCTTGCTCGCACTCCCACACAACGCCTACTCCGCCCAGGTATGCCCGTACACAACTCACTATCCGGCGGTCTCCACCTCCGATAGCACAGAGCTTGTCAAAATGTGTGGTAAGCACAATAACCCAATGGGTGCACAGCACATCTCACCCGGATGCATCCTGCTTGTTCGGCTTGCGTGCCCTGTGCCCTCGGCCGGGCCATCCCCATCGGGTTGCGAGGAGGATGCGTCCCCAGAAAGCCTTGCAAATGCATTGATGGATTATGCCGAAAGGCCGCCACGGCGTCGGCGTCCAGATGACAAACATCCCCGGAGGATGTCTATTCTCCCGCCCTTGAGTGCACACTCGTACTCACCACACTCGTCTTCTTCACATCTTCCTCCGTGTCTGGCGCTACTCCTTGCTTGACCACTCTCTATCCCTCGCAGTACTCTGATACTCTAGCCTCTTGGTTGTCCCGTTTCCTGGCACGCATGGTAAGCAGTTCAGAAGCACAAGTTTGCTACTTGACCAAACTGATAAATGCCGGTGTTTGCGCCATAATATCAATCTACAACCTCTGATGACAGCGTGCTCAAACCAGCATGCACGGAAACTCATACCTGCTACCGCCACACCTCTGTTCATACCACCCGCACTCGTTCTGCATGGATCCCGTCGCCTCGATGCACCCTTGACAGGCTGCATTCGCGTTCCTGACGTCGTCGGAACACCGGGATTCTACAGGATGTGACTGGTAAGCCACCGCTTTATCAAAATCAGCCCACAGCGAGGGCATTCGCCTCGTTGCAAAAGCCCGTCGCCGCCCGGGAAACACCCTCTGCAGGCTGTCAGAGACTCTCCTCAGCTCGGCTTGCAGCTAAGAGCGACCGTTTTTGTTGTGCTATGCCAATACAGCGAACCCTCGACGAGGTTGGTCTGTGTTGGCAGCACAAATTACCCCGCACATTTCTCACTCTTCGGCCCCCTCATGCCCGTATCATTATGGCGCCTGCGTAACACAGCACTAACCTTCACGCGGGAACCGCCCATGTCGAGAGCAGCGGGTCCGGGAAGCATTGCGGGTGAGTATGCTCCACAACGATGGCACAAAATCAAATACTAACCGCTTGAGCCTTGGCCGTCGGCCGCAGAAGAGCTCCGCGCACGCACTGCTGCGCCGCGCGTCAGTGTGCGGCGAGATCTCGAGGTGCGCGACTGCCCGCACGCCCCCTTGCACGATACCAGCGCGCGGCAAGCACCGTGCCGGCGGCCCGCGCGCCCATGCTGCGCCCGCGCGGGCAAGGCACTCGAGGACTCGAAGCTCGCGCGGATGCTTGTCGAGCCTCGCTGGTGAGTACATGATATAGCTGCGAACATGCTAGGAACTTATCTGGACGTTCTAGCGCGAGGCCGCCGGCCATCGAAGAGCCGCAGGCGTGCAAGAGTTGAAACTCAGCCGTGGCGGGCCGCGGAAAACGTCGCTCGCGCGCCCCAGGACGTCGCCGCCGACCACCAGACCGGCTCCCGGCCGCTCAATACCGCCTACATCGATGGCCGCGGGCGGCGCGAGGCTACGAAGCGTATTGGTAAGAAAATTCATTACTTACGCTGCTGATTCGCGCACTCACAGAGGCATGCAGATGGCCGGTGGCCAGAAAGAGGCCGGGGCGGGGAAAGCGCTCCGCGGCTGTCGCCTACCGGCCGCGCGGAAGACAGCGGAGAGCGCCAGCAGCGGCACCGAAGGACGAAGGCGCCCCGGACGTACGTGAGCGCAGAGAGGGACCTACGCATCGCCACCGCTTCGAGATCGCCATCTCGCGAGTCGCAACGCCGGGGATCTCGAGCCGCTCGCGTCCTGACGCCAAGACGAATCGCGCAACAGAGAGTACGAGCAGGGGAAACAAGCCCAGAGCTGATAGACGACAAGGGCGACCGCGAGAGCGCTAGAAACCAAGCTGCAGAGGTCGGCGAAGGCCCTAGCATCGTAGACAAGGAGTAAGAATATTCGTAGAGTCATTGTAGCGCGAGAGGAGTGTAGCAGTCGAGACGCGCCGCAGAGGAGCAGGCCCAGCGTACACACAATGACAAGCCGCGAGGTGGTGGTGGTCGAAACGAAAGGACGGGTGAGTAGGCGCCCGTGGCCGCGGATCTGTTTCTGCGTCGAACTGGACGCATTGGCCCGGGCCTTCTGCGCGGCGCGTCCCTCTGCGCGCGCCTCATCTCCTCACCAGCGTGTACCTATGTACCTACTTACTATCCACGAAACACGCAGACCTACTATCCACGAAACACCCAGAGTCCCACATAAACTCTGGCCATCTTTTCGCCTCTGCGCCGCCGTCATCGCCGCCCGCGCGAATGCGGTGTCCGGTACGCCAATGAATTTCATGCCGCCCGCTGCCCAGCCACCCGCGAGTCTCCGGCCTCCCACACATCTGAGATCCCCCGCGGACTCGCGCACGCTCTCCCATTCGCAGCGAACATCGGCGTCGAGCCTGCTGTGCTAGACGCGGTTCGCGCGCAGTCAAAGTCAAATAGTTGTGGTTGGAGTCCCCCGCACGCGCCCACCTGACCGCCCGTGCGAAACTGCAGTTTGGGACGCAGTCTACTGTAGCGTGTGCAGGTGCGTGCTCCATGCTCATGATGCCGTCTCTGTACGCGATGCACAGCGGCTGAGCGTTGTGTGCCAGGTTTCCCGCCGACGAACAGCCAGGGCGGCGGGATATTCGCGGCCGCCATGAGCGACCTGTCGCCCCTGTGGCAGGGTGCGAAGTGCCAGGGCTCCCAGGACGCGAGCAAGTGCAACGGGAGGGGGTCCTGTGTGAACTGCGTCGGACGTGAGTTGCATGCAGGTCATGCGGCGACGCTGTCTCTCACTCGGCTAACGTGTGTGCATAGCGGCGTGCCCTGACGAGGAGCTGTGCGGGACGGTAGGTCTCCTTATACGTATCTTCGCGCAAATTCTTTGACCTTGCGTCGTCTAGTGCTTTAACGTCAGATGTACGTGGACTGGTTGTGCAATGTCTATCAACTGTGCTAACAGGGGACTGTCGCAGGCACCGGCTCCCTCGACGGCGAGACCTCCGGCGCGTGCACCGGAAAGACCATCAAAGTCAAGATCGTCGACGCGTACGTGCACACGCCCTCTTCGTCGTGGGCGTAGATCGAGGCGACCCATTTACTCACCGGCGTTGTTCCCACCAGCTGCCCAGCCACACACCCAGCCAACTTCTGCAAGATCCCTCAGTTCGGCGGCGTACGTTGCTTGTTCTCTGTTATTCCAAGGAACTATACGACTTACGTATTGCGGTGACCTTACTACATTGTTGCGATCTGCAGACAATCCGCCCTATTGAGGCCTGCGAGCAGCCCG